GATGCCGAACAGCGTGTTCTCCCACGGACGAAACTGGGCACGGATGTTGAAGATGTCGCCCGGGCGGCGCACCAGCGGCACGTTGCCGTCGACATTGCGTGCGATGGTCTGGGTATAGTCGAAGTAAAGGTCGAACCACTTCACCGGGGTGATCTGGATGAAGGTTTCGAAGCCCTCGGTCTGTGCGTTGGCGATGTTCTGCATCAGAGTGAAATTCGGCGGCGCGCACTGGATAAGATTCTGAAAAGTGTTGAAGAAGTAGGTGATGCCGGCCTTCACCTTGCGGTCGAACAGGCCCTGTTCGACGCCGACCTCATAGCCGCGGCTGTACTCCGGCCGGAGGTTGATGTTGCCGCCGCAGAAAGGTCCCGGCCCGTAGAGCTCGAACAGCGACGGCGCCTTGAAGGCGGTGCCGTACGATGCCTTGATCTTGGTGTCGGTCGGCGCCCACAGGTACGAAGCCCCGGCGCGCCATGTGGCGACGTTGCCGAACGTGTCGTTCATGTCGATGCGGCCGCCGACATTGAGGTTGAATCCTTCGAACGGGTTGAGCCGCAGCTGGCCGTAGATGCCGGTCTGGGCCATCGTGCCCCACGCCTGGGTGTAGGGCGTGAATGTGCCGATCGTGTTGCTGTAGGCCCATTGCCGATCGTAGTCGACGCCGCCCACGACCTCGACCTGCTCGCTGACCTTGATCAGGTTCTTGAAATCGGCCTGAAGGCGGCGGCCGTTGAACCAGCTGTCGAGGTTGTTGGGAAGCAGGTTCTGGGGGCTGGCGTAATCGAGGTCGTGACGCGTGATCGTGCTGTAGTTGATGCCGACGACCGGCTTCCAGCGGCCGTCGAAGTAGTTGCCCTCGATCTCGCCGCGCGTGAAGAACTGCGAGGTGTAGCCGTTGGCCATCGGGTCTTCCTGGCCGACCTGATCGTAATTCAGCTTGGTGTCGATGTAGCGGCCGAAGAAGTTGAACTGCGTCGTATCATTGATCTCGTAGCCGAAACGCGCCGCCAGCGTGATGTTGCGATAGGGATCGATGTCGACGAAGCCGCCGTTGGGCGTGAAACGGGCCGGTACCGGCGTGTCGTTGGGGCTGAACGTGCCGGCGAAGGTCAGGTTGTAGTTGAACTTGCCCTCGCTGCCACGCACGTAGGCGCCGCTGTTGCTCTGCAGCCGCGTGCCCAGTTCGGTGAAGGCCGCGCCGTTCATCTTGCCCTGGCCGGCCTTGGTGACGAGGTTGATGACGCCGCCCATCGCCTGGCTGCCGTACATCGTCGACATCGGGCCGCGCACCACCTCGATGCGGTCGAGATTCTCGGTCAGCAGATGGGCGAAGTCCGGCGCGCCGTTGGCGCTCGACGGGTCGTTGACGGTGATGCCGTCGACCAGCACCAGCAC